GTCCATTTGTCTCGTTAATGACGTAATCGAGGTCTAGTCGGGATGTGTCGTTACGTGCCAAAGCATTAAGCATCAATTGGACACTTTCTTAGGTAACGTTGCGCGCGTGCGCGCGAGCCTTTCTTTATTCGTTAGAGCAATTAATGTCGTGAGCTCACTATTACCCACGTAGTTTCCTAAATGGGACTCACTCGCCGTGAACAGTCGTGATTTTCAAGAATCGCCGTGATTCGCTCGATCGTCTTGACAGTCATGACGCAGTCACGCAGAGATATGCGTAAGGCGAAAAGCCTCGCGAGACGGAGGAGAGTTTTCACGCGAGCGTCGCAAGAAAGCACAATGACAGTCCGCGGCGAAGAAATCGTGAGAGACCCGCTCTTATATCCAGGCCAAGATTTTGACACACGGCCACTTTCTCGCGGCGATCGAACGGCACGTGGGCTCAAAAACGGCCCGCGACAACGTTTGCCGTAAATGGCGTCGTTTTCCACGGCGGAGGTCGCCGGCGTGTAACGCGTCGCGACGAAGGAGAACGAAGCCGGCAAGTCGCTCGAGACGTCCGATTCGGAGGCGGGATCACATCCGTGGGTGCCCCGGGACGGAAGGAGGCATTCGCACGTTCTCGATTTTTAAAAAGGAGAGAGGCGACGGAGTCGGGACGTCGCGGGGGCAAATTTTTACGTAGGACAGGATCCGTCTTCGTGGCGCGGGGGGAGGGCGAAGGGGTATCTTAGACGATTGTGTGATGCGCGTCTTGGAAATCTCGCGGCGCAGAGGACTTTTTGCAGAGCGATCGGAAATTAATTAATACGCCTTCAGGCTCCATCAGGATGCGAGATGTCAGGATCGTGACGTACAGCTGTGATATACTTCGTCGAGGTCGCGTTCGCATCGACATGTCATTCTTCTCCGCCTACTGTACTTTTCATTGCATTTTATCACGCGAGCGATATGTCGACAATGTGGCGACCCGCGACGTCTGTTTCTCATTCCACTGTTGAGCGTTGCACAATGCGTCATGTCGGTGCCATCGATGCCATTTAAAGGCAATAAAGACCCCCCACCCCGCTTAATGAAGAAAGGATCGAGAGCCAGAAGTTCGCTGTGAGCAGTCGCCTAAAACGAAATGCCGCGTGGGCCGTACAAGGAGATCTCGTTAGTCGCTTTTGTATATCGCCACATCGGCGAAACGCAGCGGGGCTGCGAATCGATCCAAATGCAAAACGAGAATGCGGAGTGTCGAAAGCCGAAGGTAAAAAAAGTACGACTTGAGCTCAATCGTACCATCGAATTCGCGTACACCCGCGTAAACGCTGATGAACTAGTCGCGCTAAGAACTCTCGTTCGTCACCCACGTTTGTAACGACAGATAACGATCTGAATTGCTCCTAATATGTTGTATGCACGACATGTACAATATGCAACATGCGATAATACTGTCGCAGTACTGTAATAAAAAAAATAACAATTATAATTCTTCCTATTATCGTGAATCGTGTATCCAAACGTTCGTTATTTATATTGCCATTTTGGTCGATCGCATATATTTGTTTATTAACTAACGTTGTATGTTAACAGTAATGTGCTACGATTTATCGATTTATTTGCCAATTTCCAGGCAGAGTCACGGGATTCGAAGAAACATCGCGCGCACGATTGCACCCACGTGCCTGTCCGGGCGATCAAAATGAACCAAAGTCCGCGGCGCAATAAAGCCGATTAATTTATTGTTAAATGCCCGCGAGGCGCAGTAACTTCCGTTGATTTCCGTACGGTACTCGAAGAAACGGGGGACGGCTCGGTGTGTTTTACGGTTATGGTCCTGGAGATTAAGGACCCTGGCTCCCCTCGCCGGACGCGCGCTCGTAGGTCCCGCCGGCGTGTTACTTGGGCGTCCTCCCTCGCCGTTTCGCGAAAGAGGAAAAAGGAGGTGGTAAGGGGGCGAGCGAGGGTGCAAGAGGGACGGTGGGTCACTTGATCGAAGCGAGAAACCACTTGCCCATATTTGGCTACACCCGCTGCATTCTACATTCCGCGTCTTTTTGTTGCTTCTTCTTCGATCGCCCGTACACCTATATAGCGGCTCCTCCGCTGCATCGGCGAGCAACCTACATAGTGCTTGCCCGGCGAATTTTTTTATCACACCGATGACGTAATTCTGCCGTTTCTCAAAGTTTCTCAACAATACCGCGCGATTGATATGTCGCGCGGTGGGGGAAGCGAGAGGAAGAGAGGAAGAGATTGCGATCCGTTAGATAAGAACAAACCTCTTCACAGTCGAGTGATTAGATTTAGGGCCGGTTGTTTCAACTTCTTGGTGAGCTAACTGATAGTTAAATCATATGTTTTTCCTTCGATTTAGACAAAGACAGAGATGATTTAAGTATGAATCAGTTAACTTACTAAGGAGTTGGAACAACTTGCCTTTAGTCCTGCCTTTAGTCAGGCAGAGAATAAATATGAAAATGAAAGATATGCGTCACATTTTCCGTTGCATCTTGGTGCACCAGTTGGTAAAGACGCTCTGCAAACAAAAAAATAGGTAAGCAAAAGCTCAGTAATTTTTTTATACAAAATATTCGCGAGAGATATTTTATGCAAATATTCGTAAGAATATTGGCGCGCTCCCAACGAGCCCTCACCGACTAGTGATTGATTGTTAACGTGCGATTTTATCTGCTCGTTTCGCAAGAAACGAACTCGGGCAGTGGGGCTCACGGAGTGAAATCACGCGGAGTGCTCCGAGATATTTGCAGGATCTCTCGGCTCTCGCGAACTTGCACGCGAGTGACGCTCACGTGGGCACAGTGCGAAGAATTGAGACGCACGCTACCTACGCCTTAGGGAGCATGACTCCGTAATACCCTGGCAGGAAATGCAACTGTGCTGATATATATATATATATATATATATACACACACACACATATATATAAGAGATGCAAAGTCGTCCGGCTCTCTCATATACATAAGTGGAAGCGACCGCGCGCTCGCGGCGATGCTGTCGCGTGTCCCGGCGTGTCCAACGCGACTCCTTTTATTCACAAGGCTCGGGAGTGTCGAGATACACATAAACATTTGATAGCGCAGATCCGTTTCCCCTAACGAGAACTTCATCGAAGACTCGAGCCGGAGAAACAGGCTGATAGCGCGATTCGTAGAGCCTGTTTCCACTGTGTCTACCTTCGTGCGCTCGAGAGACCGGTTTTACATTACATTACTGGATGATTTAATTTCGTTGCAAATATCAAGGTTGACTTCCACTGTGTGCCTGGTCTTCTCGAACCTGTGAACATTTATCCGCTGATCTCTTGTTCCTCTCGCTTCGGGCTGTTTAATCTCCATTACGCCGGTAAACGATACGCGCTTTATTTCCCCTCTATTCTCGAAATGAGTCGGAAAAAGTCGGTGGAAACTGCGTCTCGGATTACCTCTCGATCGGGGAGCGTTAAAAGTCTTGCCGTGGCCCGCGCTGCCGATTTCGGTGAAGATGGCGCGTTATCTCGCGCACGGTTTCGCTACTCACGAGCTGACCCTGCGATTACTCGAGGTCGCAGGTGGCCGCGTTTTCATCATTAGCGATCAATCCGCGTTCAGCTCGTGCGGCTCGTCGGGCAGGTCGAACGGCGAAAAAGCGCCTGGCCCTCTTTGGATATAAAGGCGCTTGTATAATAAGTGGCACAAGACCGCTTTCTATCTATGTACGAAGGATTTCTCGGTACATATCTCGAACGCGGCACGTCGAGAGTCGATCTCGGAGAGGGAGAGAGACCTGTGGCCCGACTGTGATAGTATCTGATTCTGCTTGTCGAGAGTGTTTCTTTTTCTTCTTCTCCTCTCGAGAACGAACGTGTTATTGTATCGGAGGGTATTGACTCACTTGCCGTCCTCTCGCGACGCGTCCCGCGAAATTGTCTGCACAGCATCGCTCGATTATTCGCACTGGAAATTACGTGTTGTCGCGCTTGTTGCAGGGAAAAGGGTATTACGCGGTTGTTAATGACCAGACGCTCATTACTATTCGCGGAGCGAATAAGCTGGAGTGGGATTTATTAGGGACGCATATCTAATGATTACACGTTGCTGTAAGCATGTAGGTAAAATTACATGCGTTACAGATAGCCACGTGAAGCCGATGAGACTGAATGACGGCAGATCCAGCCGTATACGTGGGCGAAGTGAAACGAACAAATAATAAAGTTCCGACAACGTGTCCGGATTTTGTGAGAGCGTGCGTGTAATCGTTGTCGCGAGAACATTTCGATATATTTCGTCGTTGTTGATGTCATCGATATGTTCGACTCAAACGAGTATCGCGTCTCTTTAATATGTAAATTGACGCGTGTATGTGTGTGCGTGTCATTTTAAATAGTGGTACAATTTATGCTTCAAGAGCAAACAGTCTGAGATTAAATGCCACGCGTATCAAACGTAATTGTGTGTAAGCTCGGTGCGCGCGTGCGCGCGCGTGTATGTATGGTTAATTATAACTTCCTCAAACTGCAATTGTACGGAGAGTAACAACCTTGCCTGTGGAGTTACGTAATGACTGGGTCATTCGTGTAGTGCTGCGAATAATCGAGTGCCCAGGTATCTTGAGTACTTGAGAGGGTATGACTTGAACATACCATTACCTCGGCTATCGTCCAGATACACGGATAATATTCGTAATTTTGAGCAACCGAATAGATGTTGCGGCTTCGACATTGAGACTACCTAGGAAACTACTGAGACTGTTGTAACGATAGCATTCTTGAATTCGCACCATTATCGCTTGCAACCAGATATAGTGTACGGTTGGTTTATTTCGATCACGAGGAGATCGCGCTGAAATTGAAGACTACTCGAAATACTGCTTGGAGTAATAAGCGTTAGACTTTTAGGGAGAGACGAGGAGAGGGAAAGAGAGAGGGGAGAGCGTGCCGACGTGGTTTTACCTGCGAGATCTTACTTTACGATATATATTTGAAATTTGAAAAAAATTTGAACAATTTGAAAAAATTATTATGCCTACGCCTGTATAATTCATGCAATCATAAATAATACAATCTAATAATAAACGTGATATAGATAGACGTCACCGTATAATGCCTTGTTACGAGATTTATGAGATTTAATTTTCATTATACCTTAAACATTTATCACATCGCTCGAGCGCATCATATCTTCGATTTTTCCAGGAGGAAATCCGTCACCAGTTTATTGAACTCGTCGGCATATCTCAAGTGAAGGTTGTGTGCGCCCTTCTCGAATATATGCAGTCTGTAACACAATACGAGGAAAGTTAAAATATCTTATTGACTATTTAGGTAGCATCAAGTTTACGAATGAAATACAGACTTCGAATTGGCAATGTTTTGTTTCAGATACTCCGAATGTTCCGGCAGGACCATCATATCTTTGGCCCCGTAAACGATCAACGTCGGGCATCTTATCTTCGGTAAAACCTGTTTGCACACGTCACCGTTCCGCTTCTCGTACAACTTGTGCATGGCGTCTATCCAATCGGACCAGGTCTTCCTGAAGTAATCCTCACCATACGCTTTTATCATAGGTGTTCTCATCTTCTCCGACCACGTGTCAATACTTCTGACCTCTGCATAGTAAAATATTTTATTATATTCAATGCTTTCGAACATTCTCAGGATAAAGTAACATCGAAATTTCCAATCTCTTTTTACAAAAGAAACTTTGCTGTTTTAGAGATTTGAACGAATCTTTGTGATATCGGTATTTCTTACTAGTCTGAGTTACTTTATCTCGTCGAAACATTTATATTTTTAAATTTTACCATACTGTACTTAAATTTTAGAATAAATTTTAATAGATTGTATTGTTAAAAAGTAAAAGTTACAAAACACAATTTTGGTGGTATCATGTGATCAAACGGTATTTAGAACTTGAATATCATAAGCAATCATACTTTCGTATAATTTCATCTCATCCGGGTGTATGTACGCGTTAGCACCCGTAACAACCATCTTCCAAATGCTCTCAGGATATGTTGAGGCAAGTAGGAGCGACGTGATACCGCCGTCGCTCCAACCGATCAGAGAGAATTTCTTGTAGCCTAAAGTCTTCATCAGGTCATGGGCCAAAACGGCATCGCGCTGGAAGAAATCGTCCGGGAACATTTTGTCGGGTGGTCGCGATTTTCCATAACCAGGTGGATCCCACGCTACTATGACTAACTTATCTGCATCAAGATTTTCAATCTGCGGCTTAAAATCAGTCCAGATTGTCCCTAAAATATACAGTTTGATATGTAAATGGCTTCCGTTACATAGAATGTTTGTAATGTAATATATTTAAAGTTTATATATAATCATTCATTTTCCGCATTTAATATCTTTGCAAACGGCAAAGATGTTTGATCGTGATGTTTTTGAAAAGTTGAGGTTTTTTAAGTGTCTGACAATTCTTTGAGTATTACGTGAGAGAGTAGAGGCGGCTAACTTGTGCGGAGTCGTACCACGATTCCTCAGCAAGTATAGCAACGGCTTGTAGCCGAGACTTTGGAACTAAAAGCCAATGTCACACGCAAGATTCAGACCTTTTTCAAGCAACATTTATAGGCACAATAGTCGAAACTCAAGCTCGTTCGTTATATTTGCGAGGTCCAACTTTAATAATTAATATTTCGAAAACTAAGACGAATTCAACGAAACGTTTGGATATTTTTCAATGTGATTTACTATATTTAAAAGCGTTAGCATTATGCAATCGCGTGCTTAAATATTATGTCTCCTATCGGATACATTATTATCATATACTGATATCTATTGGGTATATCATGTTCAATAATTACCCAATAGATGGCAGCAGTATCAAAACAAGATAAGATGGAATTCGTGATGAGATGAGGCAAGAGGCCTGTTCGTTTTGTCTGCACTGCTGAACTGGTGCAACAAATTGAAGTGAGAAAACCTACATTTGTCTCACTTTAACTTAATGCACCAGTTCAGCAGTGCAGATAAAACGAACAGGCCTAAGTATACAACATCCAGATAATTATTCTGTTGAAACATAATAGCAAACACTTACCTAAAGCGCCAGGTAATAACAACACCGGATGATCACCTGTGCCGACTTTGGCATAATTTATATCAATGCCATTTATTTTTACTTTTTGTTCCTGTTACATAACATATCAAATAATGTTTTGTTTTTGTGTTTCTGGCACAATTCCACGGTAAATGTTTTACGTACCTCTATCTGACGGGATTTGGTGGTCATCGATGATAGTTGCCGATTGTACGAAAACATGGGTTTTGGCATCACGAACTTGCAAAATGCTCTCATGGAGCAACTGAATATTTTGGTGCACATGATACCATACTTCTCAAGTTATCGAGTGAATCGGGAAGTGATGCGGAGTGATAGGCAGTGGCTCGTAATCACGTGACATATATTTGTTTTGAGAACATATTATCAGCGTTATTCGTACTCTCTAAAACATCATTCCATATTTATCATTCATTATATATAACAAAAATAAAATACACTGAGAGTGCTGATAACTCGCTCCTAGCCTTGAACGTAGCCTTGATATTGATATGATACAACTGCAATCTATATAGTAGCGTTAAGCGTCGTCTACAATGGCAGTAAGCAATAAAGAAGTAAGCGTAAGCGGTAAGAAATAAACCAATCACAGTCGATTATGACAAAAATAATCAACTGTGGTTGATCCATTTCTTACTGTTCACGCTTTCTTCTTACTGCTTGCGGCCATTGTAGACCGCGCTTTGAGGCTCGTCTACATTAGCTGTAAGAGTAATACCTTGTCTACAATAGAAGTCTTAAGGCTCGTCTACAATAGCTGTAAGGGTAAGGCTGTAAGGCTGCAACGTAAGCTGTCAGCGAATGAAAATATTTCATTTCGTGTCTTGCAACCTTACAGCCTTACTCTTACAGCTAATGTAGACGAGCCTATAAGATCATTCTTTATAGCCCAATTATAGCCGATTATTTTTGTAATAATCGACTATGATTCGTCAATTCTTACGACTTACAATTTACGACACGTATTATAGAATGACCTGTAGAGTCGTAAGTCGTAGAAATTGACCAATCATAGTCCGGTAAGAGAAAAATAATCGACCGCGATTGGTCAATTTGTATGACTTACGACTCTATGACTTCTATTGTAGACGAGGTATAAGGCTGTAAGGTTGCAAGACACGAAATGAAATACTTTCATTCGCTGCCAGCTTACGTTACAGCCTTACAGACTTACTCTTACAGCTATTGTAGACGAGCCTTAAGGGCCAGAGCACAGACTTCTGCATAATGCATAATATACAACGCATAAGAGAATCAACCAATCAGAGTTCTTCATTTCTATCCTGAGGAGAGAAATGAAGAAAACTAATTGTCCTAAGCCGCTAAGGATCTCGTATAACTGAAATGGAGTACACATGTACAATAAAAGAACATACATACCTCCTTTCGTCGCACATGCGCACTCCATTTTGGCTACACTGACACCAAGGGTTTCAACAAGGAGCTTCGTTATTGTATATACTGTGGTACAACTTTGCGTAAGGTTAACTCAAACCACTGTGCTTATCAGAATTCGTTTATTGCCTACAGCTTACTAACAAATTTAAATTCCTTTATTTACAATGAATCTTATTTTCGAGCCGTTGAACAATGGTACAAATCGTTTTGCAAAAAATTTTGCAAAATAAAAGTCTCTCTGTACATATGTATTTTTTGAAATAAGAATCATTCTGCGAAAAAATTTTTGAAATTTAATCAATTATTTTATTATAAATAAATGTCAAAGAGTATACGGTAAAATGAAAATATTTCTACATCAAGAATTTACCACAGTCATATTCATAATATGCGGTTTCTAAAAATAGGTTTGGAAAGTAAAAATGTTTTGTTGCTAGTTTTAACGGAAATTGGAACTTATGTTGTAATTACGTTGTACAATCATTAAAATATTTATTTTGGAATTATACAATAATGGTAAAAATGGAAAAACATCAAGTGCAAATGAAACACATGATGATCGCAATGATCAAAAGACCAACGCATATATTTCTACATGGTAAATAAATAAATGTGTTTCTTGTGTGATTGTATGTCAATTAAAAGATGTTTACGTGCACGCAGTCTTGATGTCGGTGTGTTAATATAAATTTATAATTATTTTTACAAAAGTAGTTTCTACATAAATCTTGAGATATATATGCAAATATTCAAAATTTGTAACAAAAATTTTTGTCATTATCCTTCCAATGAGAGGAAATTTCGATTTGAATCTTTGTTCAACTATATTTATGATTTGTGATAAAAGTGCACAAAATCCCAATTAATCTTAATACTTAATTATAATCCTATCGACAGAAATAGGAATAATGATATTAAACGATTCAAAATGTTTACATGCTAATGGCTCATCATGAATCTTGTGAATTACGACTGTGTTCCCTGCTGTATTCCTCTGTCAGATACTTTTTGTATTTTGTCTGATTGTTCCATAGTTCTGCTGCTTGGATATTAAGCGGGCTATCGTTGTTAGGTTCTGCGTGACAAAATATAGTTTGAATCAATAAATGCCAATACTGACTTATCATACAGTCGCTTTATTTATCATACTCACCACTAAGAAGAGACTGTATGGAAAGTAAAATGGTGCGCACATCGTACAATGCGCTCCATTTATCTTTCAGTATATCCAAGCAGATATTACCAACAGGGTCAACATTAGGGTGAAAACAAGGTGTGACAAAGCGTACTATGGGAGCGCTATATGGATAACTATGTGGAAATTCCAGAGTCAATTTGTAGGTGAGACCAGCATATACCTATGGTGCGTTAAAACATTGCATCACTTCATCATTGCAACAGAACACATCAAGAATTAAATATATTAAAATTCAGATATTCAGAGTAGTTAAAAAAACAAATATCTCACTGTATCTTTCGGTCCTGTGATAGTCCCAATCCATTTGAATAAATTTTCCCCCTCAGGAAAGGCTGATACTCCGTGTTCGGTGCTCATCATCAGCACCATAAGCTCTTTTTGCAACCTAAATAATTAACAGCGATGAATGAATCTTAACAGTAACATGCCCATGAGACAACGATCTTGTCATTGCAATCTAACACAATCACAACAACAAAGCGCACAGTTGTTCTCAATGAGAAAATATAAAATAAAAATTAGACGTAATCTCGCGAAACACTTGCGACAACCAGTATCCGATTGAGCATTCCGATTGAGGTAGCAGACTGAAATCGTATCAGCCTGGCGACTAGGTTACGTTAGCACAGCGGGCAAAGAGCGATATCAATTACTTGTGAAAGGTATATAAACTCCGCGTATTTAAACAATTACCACAACTGTCGCCGGTATGTTCGAACGAGAGGCGAAGAAAACAAAAACATCCCGTCGGAACATATCGCGATGAAGCAGCTAACGGACTTGACTTTGCTCACCGTTTGCTGACTGCATGATTGTCCTTCGGCACGCTCTGCTTTTCCTCAGCGGCCTTGTTTGTCATGTTCTGCGACGAGCAGAACGGGTTGACGTTCTGCGCCATCCTCTCGAGACACACACAGCCACACGGAGCTCAACACCGTACGCGTCAAAATCAGTGGAACGTGTGGAAGAGGGAGAGCGAGAGAAGACGGTCCCCTCTTCGTCGTGGAGCGAAGCTACTCGCGGATCGGTCACAACACAAGTCAGCCACGGTGGAAATTTGAATGCGTGCTACATGTGCTATTACCCGAGCTGAAAACGTCAAGCGGCGAACAGCTGTTGCGTCTCTCGCGGTGCGAGCCAAGTGGCGACGGTGCGCGTTGCCGTCGCGTGTCTTCCGCACTTTCCGTCGTTCGCGTCGGCTTGGATCGTCGTCCTCGTTTGGCTCGTGCGCGGCTCTTCTCGATTTCACAGAGTTTACTCGAGCGATGAGGCTCTCGCGGCGCGGCGGCCAAAGACAGTCACGACACCGTGCGCCTACTTCGTGTCGTTTCGTCGTCTGGAACGGTGCTATTTAAATCGATAACTTTGACAGTGTTTGGTTAGACGGACGGACTCGACGGTGTTGTCACCCGATTGAAGCCCAGAAAGGTACGATGAGTGTGAGTCAGCTTGGGACTGCGTTGTAATCGTGAGGGTAACGGGCTGGTTGGCTCGATAATCGACAACTCTCATTTAGTCATACACGGCTTCTCAGATCGATATGACGTGTTGGCGGAGGAGGACGCGGCCGGAGTACGCGATCTGTACGTTCGCGGAACGTAACGCTCGTCGATAGAGTTTCTGCGGTATATAGGTGTTGTTGACGGATATTTTCTTTCTTTCTGTTTTATTTCTTGCGGATAAAGAGTCTCGCGATAACCTCGCGACTTCCTTATGCTGAGCCGGACGGAGTTGTGTAATGGAGTTACTTGATGATGAGATTGAGAAATTCGAGGTCTGCTAGTCTTGAGATAGCGAAAGTATGGCAGCGGCACAAGGCACACCGGAGTCAGACACTGGCAGTTTCGAGTGCTTCAGAAACTACACCGCGCCAGAGGTATTTGTGCAAGGTCTGGCCGGCATTGTCGACCAGCAGGATGTAGAGTCTATGATACGTGCGCAGAAACAAATGTAAGTTGCATCTCGGATGCATCTGGGGGATGACTTGACATTATGGTGTGACTTAACGTTGCTCCTAATCCTAATTATGTATCAACACGTTCTTGACTTCTGGCTTATACCATTCCAGGTTGCAAAGGTTCGAGAAGACCAATGAGATGTTGACCAACTGTAATCAGTTGTCGATAAACAGACTGAAGACAGCTGGCACCGAGTTCAAGAAGCACACTGCTCTTCTAATCGAGATGAAGAGGGATTTGGATTATATCTTTAAGAGGATTCGTCTGGTAAAGAACAAACTGAGCCAGCAATACCCGCAGGCGTTCAATGGTAATTAATAAACCTAGGTGTAGACGAGCTCTAATAAGAAATCAAATGACAATACAAACTTCATTAATCGCACGAATCTACAGAGGCTGTGAGGAGCAGTTTGGCGGAGGAGGTTATCGTGGAGGATATCGATTGTCCGGTGAAGCCCCTCGAGCCAGAGATCGTGCCACTGCCGTCCGCTCCGGTTCCCTGTGCCGCCGATCGTGATCCCGATTCAGACGGTAATGAGACCTCCACTACAAATAGTCATATCGCTAAGGAATAAGACCGTCCCGACTTCCTCGCGGAAGCCGACGAACGTTCGAATGTAAAACACGTAAAGTAAGCCTACGGAGCGCACGAGTGGGCGGTGTGATTCAGGTAACATATTACAATTTCTAATGTGTACACGTGTGTGGCGGAGGCGACACACGAGTCTGTGCTTTGTTGTAAGACTTAAAGAGGATCTGTTTAGTCTGTACCACTGTTTAAAGATTGAGACGACTTTATTGTTGCGAAATGTATGTAAGTACGTTATAGCTGTGAATGCATAAGAGACTCTATTTTAAAGAGATATTTCTACTAGAGATCGATGTTTAACGAGAAGTAAACGTGTCTCGCTTCTGAAGATTGCATCTTACCTGACACTTTGTGCATTTTCTCTCCTTATGTGGGAGAGAGGATATTGGTACAAAACCGCAAAGGTACAGGAGTATCGATCGCGGCGAGTCGACATTTTCGCTCCGATTATTTTCGCAGGTCTCTCTCGTACGAATGACAAAGAGTAGATATCTCCGGGATCCTTTCATTGTTATTGCTCGCATGTAACATGTAAAGATTCGTTGTATCGTCGAGCAAGAATTCACAATGCAAACAGCACCAAGTAAATTTCCATACTTGATGATATTACGCGTAGTAGACGTTAGCGAGTCTCATAAGTAACTTTCTGATCATGAGTGAGCGATAAAGACAGAGAGAGACAGAGAGAGAGAGAGAGAGAGAGACAGAGAGAGAGAGAGAGAGAGAGAGAGAGACAGAGAGAGAGAGAGAGAGAGAGAGAGAGAGAGAGAGAGAGAGAGAGAGAGAGAGAGAGAGAGAGAGAGAGAGAGAGAGAGAGAGAGGAAAAGAGCGAGAAAAAGCAAGCGAGAGAGAGAGAGAGAGAGAGAGAGAGAGAGGGAGAGAGGGGGAGAAAAAACAAGAAATGTCGCGTTAGATATCCGATATGACGCAGTCAGATCAAGTCAGATATAACGATGGACAGAGCGAGCAACGTCGGAACGGAAGTACGGAAATTTACTATTCTATAAATGTCTTTTCTTCATTACATAATTCACCGAGTATGTCGCGTAAGTATGTACATATCGCATAATGACACGCTTTCGATGTACGAGCCGATTTATCGCTTCTCCCAGCGCATAGCCAGGAAGCTTGTTCATGTGTTACATAGTGCATTATTGTAAATAAAGATCGTTCGTTTCTCGTCTACCTCGTCATACACACACACACACACACACACACATACACACGTATACATAGAGACACGCACACACACACACACACACAGAGTCGTTTATTCCACGCTACTGCGATAGGTACGTCTGCAACGATTTACAGTTTGGTCGTGACACTCGAGAAACAGTCTGTCTCGCAATCGGGGTGACGCCGTATCCAGTGCCTCTTCGGCAATTAGAGTCTGCTACGTAGGGGAGCTCGGCTAAAGATTAAATTAAGTCGCTGTTCCGTTGCGGTTTCGCGCGGATGCGAGGATATGCGCGCCACGGGGCGGGATATGCGTCCGGGTATCGGTGAACGGTTTCGCGGTGCGCGAGATATCGGCGGCGCCTACCGAGGTGCCGCAGCCTGCGAGCTCGAATCAGAGTCTCAGGGTGCTCAAACACAAGCCCGTTGTACGCGTACACTTCTTCATTCTGTAAGATAATGCAATCCACGTTGTAAAGCGCTTCGGTCGCTCCACAGTCGGCCGAGAGAGAAATATATAAGTGTTCTTCGTTCTCGTTTTCCTACACGCTGCGATTTGACTTATATCCCGATCAAACCGTCCCATCCCGTCACATGCCCAAGAGAAAAGAAAAGAAAATAAAGAAAAAGATAAATCTAAAATAAAATAAATAAAGAATATCGTGGGCATCGATAATTGGCCAGGAGACTAATGACATGACTTCAATTGTTGGTGTGCAGTGCCGGTCGAGGAGTTTCAATTCGCGAAGCTGCGCAAACGACGAATAAAGAGTAACGACAGCTCGTCGACGGAGAGCAACAACGATCACAGTAACGCCGACACGTCTTCCTGCACGTCTGACACCGGCTGAGAGAGACCGGCCGCGGTCGAGAAAATACGGAAATGAGAGAAAGAGAGAACGAGCGAGAGAGAGAGAGAGAGAGAGAGGGAGGGACAGGGAGACAGAGAAAACGAAAGACAGAGAGAATACGAGAGAGATAGGGAGAGGAAGAAAAGAGAGAACTAGAGCGAAAGAAAGAGAGAGAGAGAGAGAGAGAGAGAGAGAGAGAGAGAGAGAGAGAGAGAGAGAGAGAGAGAATAAAATCGAGAAACTAAACGAAGCAAATACTCGACGACGCTTATTAATCATGCCCCGCAAAGTCGGACTCATGCATCGGCCACTTCGAATGTTGCCTGCGAGCGTGCGAGCTAATCAAATCGACCGATCGATCGATCGGCAATAAAAGAATCGGCAATCTCGAGGCGTCTCGATCGATACCGCCGATACCACCCCGCCCCCGCCCCCGCACGGATACCATATCTCGATGTCATTGTGTAAGCTACGAGAGCCTGTGAATACTGTCAATGTTCAACGAAATAAATTCTTTGTACACGGTAGAGCGTGTGTTGATCAATTCCATACCGAGAGGGGAGCGCGAGGTCGGCTCGAAAGCCGACCGGCGGCCGTCACGGCGCGACGACGGGAGGGCAAAGGCGCGCCGGAAGAGACGTCCTCGCGGACATCCGGGCTTTTTTTAATCCGCGAGTCGCCGGCGATCTACCGTCGCCACCACCGCCGCCACCACCACCACCACCACCACCAGCATCACCATCACCACCACCACCACCACCACCACCGCCAGCACCTGGGGCGTTTCATTAGCGAGGACGCAGCCGTCGCCGTGAAATATTTCACTCGTCCAGCCGGCAAAGGTGGCGCCGAGATTAATGCGAATGCTTTTCACGGCTGCATCCGTGCACGCGCGACGCGCCCGCTATACTTAGCGCGCGCGCCGCTCCTCCGGCAAAGATTCACGTGACTTCTTTCGGCGCGTTAATTCAGGAGGAAGACATTCGAAGTGTCCACTGCACGTGTTCACGTTCAGCGCGCCGCCGAGGTACAGTGAGCGACGTGGACGTCGGCGTCGCGCGGCCGTCTCTTCGACGGGACGCGCGAGGCAACCTGACCTGGAATAGGGTCGCCGGGGGGTTCCTTTTCCCTTTCCTTTCGTTTTGTTATCAAAGTATGACGGAGGAGTATCACGCGCGCGAATCCTCCGTCCGAGTCGGACGAGAATTAATTACGGAATACGCGTCGCGAAGCCGCTCGGATGCGGCCGCGGCGGTCGTTGGAGCTTCGCGACACGTCGACATTTATGGATTCGCAGCGACGTCCTCGCGAGACCCAGAGTGGGATCGATGTCTACCTTCCGCCGGGCAAACGCTGGCCGCGCCGAAGTTGCGGCAAAGAAAAAGAAGAGAAACGCTCGTTTTTCTCGCGCTGGCGATAACTCTCTCGGTAAGGAGGAGACGCGAGAATAATATTCCGCAGGAGCTCGGATTCCGCGCTTCCGCTCGCTTCTGCGCGCCTCTGAGTTCGCTTCGACGGCCGCGACTCGTTCCACAGCTTTCAAATATTTGCTCGACGCGCCTTCGCCGGCGACTCGTCGCTGCGCGATCGCCGCGGATCCGTAATCGGAGTCGTAATTATTTACAGATTGACGGAATCCTGGCAAGCTGGCGTTACGCCGCCGTTGCTGTTAATGTGCGAATGTTAATTTTTCTTCTGGGGTTTGTTATCGCCCGTCGGGACTAAAATATTGTTAGGTATCGATTCTGGCTCTCTGCTTTCTACCATCGATGGTTTGTGCTATACACAGACGTCACGCGCGTGCATACACACACGCGCGCGCGGAGTGCGACGCTCCCGGCGCGGAGAAGACGCCAGCCGTCGCGATGCCAGAAACCAGCTGCGCCTCAGCTGTTTTCTATCCATTCCGTCTTGCTCCCTTTCTGCCGCTGACGATTGGACACTTCGAAATAAAATCCTAGGAGGACGCGACATGTGCGTCTTCGTGGAATTCACTCCGTCGCTCCACGCGCATTCACGTATAATTAAAGCTCGCGGCCGCTCTTTTACACGGCCGTGAGGACGCGTTACGGAGGTCGCTCAGCGCGTTTTGAGGCTGCGATGCGCCGTGAAATTATGTGTACTATACGACGATTTTGCACACACTGTTGTGGGAAATTGGGCAAGGTGGGTCTCGGCCGCACTCTTAGAGAACAGACATGAGGTTGTTCATGAGATGGAAAGTATCTCCTTTGGATTCTTGCACGTCTCGCATTTAAATTGAGACACGTCGATTTTTGTCGCTTTTCTTCTCACGTTTTTTTTTATTCCCCACGTTTGTTGGTTGATTGAATTGACTCGATAACTGCTCCCTCGTATCACGAATAACCGCGGCAGAAATTTCTTACGAAGAAACTTTCGGATAAGACTGACGAGAAAAGGAGAAATTCGGACGACTCTCGAGAGTCGTCACACAAGTGCCGACGATGATAATTTCTCTCGTGTCATTCTTTCGTGCTCTACTTCTTTTCCAAATTTCACCTCGGCATTTGTATGAATAAGATAAGATATGCAAATGTAAACGGGACGAGGCGCGGAACGGCCGGGAGGTATTTCGCGCGCGGAGTTTATCGCGCGCATTATTGGACTATTTCCTCTTAAAGTCCGTCCCAACTGCTTGCGCAAAGCGCAATTCATTTGTGCAGGCCGCTATTGCGGATATTGCACGCGCGTGCTAACGCGCCCGAGAAGAATGCATTTCGGCCAAGGGAGGGGACACGGTCGGCGGTTAACTGCGCTCCCGATAAAACGCGGAAACAGCTGTTTAATCTTATCCGGTCCACCTGCGCCGCGCGCGCGCGCGCGCGCGATATTTACTTTCATTCTTTCAAGCGTCGCATGCAGCACGCGCTCCCAGAACACGCGTCTTTTGTTGACACGAGCATAACAAAGCTTGTTTCCAGCCGGTCCGTAATGGCACATGTGCGCCATCATAAAATAGCTTTCGAGAGCGGCTTGCAAATTTGATAACGATGTAGAATATCTATTGTACGCTTCGCCGACCGGCGAGTCGCGAGGGAATTTTCAGCTGCTTGTCCGTCATCAAGATTGATGACGCCGAGATTTTCGCAAGTGGAATAATTCAAGCGCGCTAGAACGCGTGTATTGCGTAATGAGAAATATGCCTTCCCAAGCAGCTCGGATAAATTGGGTTTAAATCACGGTGACCTCGAAATTTCGCAATTTTTTTTCACCGCGAGAGAGGATGAACGCAATATCTCTGGTGGGTCCGGATCTCCTTTCTCATCGAAATATAACTCATTCCGGAAGATATTTCCCGGCGTGTACCCTGTACGCGATAAATTTCTTTTATCATCCGTGTATTTCTTTAATTGCAAAGAATGAGCATAAAACACACCTGTTATTCTGTCCACAGCACTTCCGTCAAAGCCACCTCCGTCTCTATCGATTATTCCGA